GGGGGGGGGAGGTTGGCTTTCCTCTCAAAAGTGGCAAATTTGCCTTACAAAAACATGCAAATGTATCAAACATGCACATATTCATACATACAGGCAAAAGTAACACAGACCAACAAACACACCACTATCAGTCATCACCACATCCTTACCTGCACCAGGCGCTGTCTCCTAGTCTCTCTGTAGTGGTGCATGCAGGCCTCATAAACCATCACCTCACTCCTCACATTCACATTGTCATCTCTCCCTCCCTCCCTTACACACTTACACACACACCCTCACCTGTACCAAATGCTGTCTCCTTGCCTCCCTGTCCTGCAACAACCAGTGCATGCAGGCCTCATAGACTGTCTCCTCCATCACACACATATGCACACACACACTTACACTTACACACACACACACACCCTCACCTGTAACAAATGCTGTCTCCTCAAACATCTCTCTCTCTCTTTCTCACACACACACACACACACAAACACACCCTCACCTGTACCAAATGCTGTCTCCTCAATCATCTCTCTCTCACACACACACACACACACACACATACACCCACACATACACCCTCACCTGTACCAAATGCTGTCTCCTAGCCTCTCTATCCTGCAACAACCAGTGCATGCAGGCCTCATAGACGGTCTCCTCCATCGTCTCACCCACACACACACACACACATACACCCTCACCTGTACCAAATGCTGTCTCCTAGCCCCCCTGTCCTGCAACAACCAGTGCATGCAGGCCTCGTACACTGTCTCTTCCATCGTCACGTTGAGGTCGTCGTCGCTGACTATCTCCACCAGTTTGTCCACAGGCAGGGACAGAAACTCTTGTTGCTTGCACAGCTGCGGGAACTGAACAGCAAAAAAATCACAGCCATGCTCACTGATTGAAGCTTTGTTTTTAGTTTTTAAAAATAATTTTTAATTTTACTTTTTCAGGGAGGGGAAGTAATGAGGAGGGTTCCTTTTTTACTTAAGAAATTAAGTTATCATTTTTTTTTCTCGAAGGGGGGGGGGGGGGGGCGGGTGGAGGAGGAGAGGAGAGGGGTTGAAAGAAGAGGGGAGGGGAAAATAGTGGCTGATTCTTATTTTTGTCATTATAGTGACATCAGTGAGAATATCGATTTAACTTGTATGGCGACACTGTGTTTTTTATGCATAAACTGCATGTTGCAAATTTGTATCACCTGTAACAAAGTATCAGCGGACAATTCTGAGCGGTAACGAAAGCGAAAGTATATTTTGATTTTCCCGATGGAGTCTCGGTATTACACCTACACATCTACCTGCCGCCATAGCCGCTTATTCGTGTGAAACATACTCTCGGACTGGGGAAAGCCGAACGTACTACCACAAACGCTACCGGTAAAATATGAACTCAGTAGCCTTTTCAGATTTGGTTTCGAGGACTTTGTGCATTTTCTCGGGTCTCCGCTTTTTTTCTTTTTCAGATTCACGGGTAATAAATTCCCGCAGTCCCCCTGTGTAGAATCCTCATTTGGTACTGACCATTACTAACCAATTCTCTAGACCAAGACAGATTTTTTAATATAATTTTGTTTCGATACCGATTTTCTTTCTACATTCGCAATCACAATTCTGTTTTCTAGATATAAATGAATTAAACGCACAGATTTTCCAGCCACAGCAAAATCCCGAAGATAGACAGAGAGAAAGAATGAAAGAAAAGAAGGAGGAAGATTATCTATCATGAGTAGACAGATTTTAGCCGATATGAATGTGAAAAACTATTGCCGACCGAACGGCACAGACAGACAATGGTCGAGTGTACGAAATGCGCAATCTGGCAGTTTCTAATACAACTTATTGCCAAGAGTTGCCGTAAATATCTGACACGTTATAGAGGCAAGTGCTGATCTCTCTCTTTCTCTCTCTTTAACGCATGGAGTTGATATGATGATGCGGCAAGTACGGAATTTTCGGAATGTACGATTTCCGCAAAAACAAAGAAGAATGGAAGCACTGCAGAATTTGTTTGTTTTTTTCTTCTTCTTTCGGCACCGATCACAAATCCGGTAGCTTTGACACCTAATCAGTATGGCGGTAGAACAGGCCCAAAATCGGTATCTACTGGAAAAATCGGTAGATTTAGGCACCCCTGCATATATTGACCCATCGTGGTGAAATCAGGAGCTCATCAAAGTAATGAAATCTAAAAAACAAAATTTTTCTACAGGTATCCCAATTTTTAAAATTTTTTTTATTTTTTTTTAGCTAAACACCTTTCGGGTCAATTTAAAAACATTTCTGGACAGATTTTACCGAAAAAAATGAAAAAAGGCACACAAAAAGTAAATTTATGCTTTCCAAGGACTCTCAAGCTACAGGAGTCACCAAACTTTGGTGGCCATTTTCTCCCTTAATTTACCTGTGAAACCAGGCACACACACCTCCTTCAAAGGTAAATTTCGACTGCTGTTCAAGATAGATGGATATTTTTTTCACCAAGAGCAAGACAAACGAACAGGCTTTAAGACCATCCCAATAACTCCCCATGCCTAAAAATTGACGAGCGCCTGATTCCACAGCGCCGTGACTCGGAGATTCAAACCTTGTTGTTGATGATCTCCTTGGCTTTGAGGGCCAGCACGTTGCATTGGTGGGCTTTGGCGAAGAAGAAGACGCCGATACAGTTGGCCACGGTGACGTGACTCATCATGAACTCGGCACAACCATCGCGCAGCGGGATCAGTTGGAACAGATTGGCCGCAGACAGGAGATTTTGCACTGTGTCTTCTGTTAAGGTCACCTGAGGAGACAAGGAGAGGAGACTGTTTAGTATTCGAAAGTTTTACAGCACTAGCAGCACAAATGCGTCACATATTATGTACTAAAGATTAGAGGTGTTACTTGTTATCGATCCAGCAACAGCCGAGCTCTAGAGGTGTTATTAAGTTTAGTAAGTATTTTACAGCCTTTACAACACAATCAGGTCATATAAGTGAAAAAGATTAGTGTTAAAGGACAGTAACATGTTTGATAGGAAAGAAGGAGAAAACCACACCAGAGCAGAGCAGCCGCCAACCACCCACAGAATTGTTACTAAAGATTTACATACAAATAATAATAATAATAATAATAATAATAATAATAAATTACACTTTTATTTGTCCCAGAAGGGCACTTTGTTTTACAATGGCAAACATACATACATAAATACATAATTATAAATACGTACATACATAAATACATACATGCATAAATACATACATAAATACACACTATTACACAAATACAGAACAGTTTACAAACAATGCCACTGTCGGTCGCCACTGTGCAGCGCCCTGTAATTTGAGCTAGGGTTGTCGTGTCTTGCTCAAGGACACACTTCAGTGACCACCCATCTGATCCCCGTGTCACCGACACTTGCTTGACATTGCTTGAGTCAAAACTCACTACTCACTTAGCCACTGGAGGAAAGTTAAGGATGATAAATGTTTGATATGAAAGAAAGAATACACCACACCACATCAACTGCAAACCACCACTGAGATGAGATCGATCACACACTGATTGACAGTCAATGCATCAAGAGTATTTAGATCATTTACGAGGAAGGTTGCTTTAAGCCAGGCCCATTAGGCTTCAACTTGATCTGAGCAGGTACTACCACTTAATTATGCTTCCCTGCATCTTTTACATTATTTCACAATCACCCAAATCAGTTTCTGGGAGTTTCCAAAGCAAGCTATTACTTGTGAATAAACATGAAGAGGTAACTTAAGATATAGTTTCATTGTGTTTCGTTTTTTTTTCTTCCCAGCTTTTACTTGAAAAAAGGCAAGGCTCTGATTTGAACAATCTTTTCATTTTTAATGTTCAGAGGGGGAAAAAACTATTTTAAAAAACCCAAAGCACTTGTGACATGATGCTGACGATATGTTTAGTGCAAACCTGACTCTGCCGCGAGTCTATGACTGAAAAAGCAGAATAGAAAAGACAGTATCATGACTCATATCGTTAACATCAAAGAACACTATTGCTCGCATCCTTTCTGCACTACTTCCATCCATCCATCCATCCATCCATCCATCCATCCAAAGAAACCTCTCAGTCACCTGTCCAGTGTAGATGTAGTCGAGCACAAGGGCCAGGGTTCGAGCCTCCATGTCCTTGAGCGTGATCTGGTCCTGCTGCGCCTCGGCCAGGCTGGTGGAGAACATGACCAGGAAGTAGGGGCTGGAGGCCGCCAGCACGTTCTTGTGGCAAGGGAAGGCCGTGTGCTCCACCACCAGCGTCACGTCCACAAACTGTTTGTTCTTGTACAGCTGAGAGAAACCTGCGGGGGTGGGAGAAACGCAACCGTCGGTCAGAGCTGGGCTAGGGTTGGGGAAAACTTTTGTGTTGGTGCTGGGAAAAAGTTTTGCGTTAGTGTTGGGGAAAAGTTTTGCGTTAGTGTTGGGATAAAGTTTTGCGTTAGTGTTGGGAAAAAGTTTTGCGTTAGTGTTGGGATAAAGTTTTGCATTAGTGTTGGGAAAAAGTTTTGCGTTAGTGTTGGGATAAAGTTTTGTGTTAGTGTTGGGAAAAAGTTTTGTGTTAGTGTTGGGAAAAAGTTTTGTGTTAGTGTTGGGAAAAAGTTTTGCGTTAGTGTTGGGAAAAAGTTTTGCGTTAGTGTTGGGAAAAAGTTTTGTGTTAGTGTTGGGAAAAAGTTTTGCGTTAGTGTTGGGAAAAAGTTTTGTGTTAGTGTAGTATTGGGAAAAAGTTTTGCGTTAGTCTTGGGAAAAAGTTTTGCGTTAGTCTTGGGAAAAAGTTTTGCGTTAAGTGTTGGGAAAAAGTTTTGTGTTAGTGTAGTGTTGGGAAAAAGTTTTGCGTTAGTCTTGGGAAAAAGTTTTGCGTTAGTCTTGGGAAAAAGTTTTGCGTTAAGTGTTGGGAAAAAGTTTTGAGTTAGTGTTGGAAAAAGTTTTGTTGGACTATTTGGTGAAGGAAAGAAAAATAAACACGCACTGGGGCTCAGGAGCTCAACAAGTATGGTTTTTCTCTGTCAACCCAGAGGTCAGGAGACCCCCCACCAGTGTCAGACTTGTTCTCATGTTTCTACATTCGGAATGTATATTATGACCTGGCTTTCTTCATTACAGTGGAACTTGGATTCAACGAAGTCGTTGGGCCTGGCCTTCAATTTGGTTGAATCCGAGTGCTTGTTATTATAACAAACACGAGGTTTTGGAGAGGATAATTACAGGCATCGAGCAAGTAATGTAATATATATATTCAACTTTCTCAACAAAAAAGTAGTTTAGTTTCAAATGAGAAGCATTTTCGGTCATTTTTTTAAATATTGTAGAAATGCTGTAAAATTCCCAGAAAACACATGTAACTCCACCAAGCACACACTATCATTATAATTTATACATATATGCAAAAGGGCCAATTCGTTCAAATGCACGCCTGTGTCATCAATTCGTTCAAATGCATGCCTGTGTCATCTATCATCTAGAAAACATTTGCCGAACAAGTTATGTTGCTGTGTGAGAGCTCAGCACAGGGCAACCTTTGATTCCAGTCCAGCGCGCTATTTATTACACAGATCTGTGTCAAGACAGCTTATCATTGTAACACCTAATTAAGACTTTTCTCGTAGCAAGTTTAGTAGTAGTTGCGCAAACACTCATAACATGAGATTGTGAGTTGGGGAGGGGTGGGGAGGGGTGGGGAGGGGTGGGGAGAGGAGATGCTCAGCCCAGTCAAATATTGCCATTGTAGTAGTGTCCTTTGCAAAAAAGACAGTTACAATTTCTATAAATAAGTGTTCCCATTTGGCTCAGTCCTGTCAGAGACAGACATTAAATTTGGTGGTTCTGCATCCTAAATAAATATAAACTTACAGTACTGCAAGATATTAACCACACAAAAGCCAAGTCTGACCTGTAAGCAGGTTAAGGGCTCTGTCCTTGTCACAGTACACGTCCTCTCCCTGGGTGGAGGCCTCACTGCTGGGGGTCGTGTTGGTGTTGGAGTCTGCCATGTTGGCGCTCTGCTCACAGCGCACACCTGGAAAACAAAACATTTTCACGGTTTTCGAGTACCATGTTAAAAATAAATTAGTTTGAGTAAAGAGAAGACATCGTTCATCATACTGATCATGAAGTGCAGGGAAGCAGTCAGTAAGATAAAAAACAGGCACAGGCAACAAAGCCAGAGGAAAGATGAAGCAAAATTCATTAAGTCTAGAAGAACACATTATAAAATAAAATTTAAAAGCTAACATCAAACTAACACATTATAAAATAAAATTTATAAGCTAACATCAAACTAACACATTATAAAATAAAATTTAAAAGCTAACATCAAACTAACACATTATAAAATAAAATTTAAAAGCTAACATCAAACTAACACATTATAAAATAAAATTTAAAAGCTAACATCAAACTAACACATTATAAAATAAAATTTAAAAGCTAACATCAAACTAACACATTTTAAAATAAAATTTAAAAGCTAACATCAAACTAACACATAAAATAAAATTTAAAAGCTAACATCAAACTAACACATTATAAAATAAAATTTAAAAGCTAACATCAAACTAACACATTTTAAAATAAATTTTAAAAGCTAACATCAAACTAACGAGCTCCTACACACACATTCACAATAATTTACTTTACAGACAAAATTTACATCATGTATATATGCCTACATAATTGAAGTAGAAAGTCCCTTCCTTATTTTGAATTCTTTTCTAAAATCATGTAATAGGGCCTAGTGTCATGTGTGTTTTTAAGACCCAATCGACACGATTTAGACCACTTCAGGAGGCAAGCTTCAATCCTGCCTGACAGGGCCAACCCGGGCTGAGAAGGTCATTATATAATAACAGACGATCTTAAATAGGCTAACATTCCTGCCGAAAGACCAAGAACTCAGAGATACAAATTCTCCCGGCAATTTGAACTCAGGTCCATGCAACAGTGAATCATAATCACAGTCATAATGAGTCGAAGAAATTTCCTGAACGAAGCGGCTAGCCGTACTTAAGAAGGGCTAGCCTGAGAGTCTAGCCAGTCTAGCCGTACTTAGATCACGGTTTGGCCCTATCGACTCGAACCTGTTGAGTACACAGGTCTCATTAGATCTAGATCTAGTAGTTATTCAGGTTTAAATAATGCAAGTCAGTAAGGCACCTTTTGGTTAAATTGTTTGAAATACAAATACTTTAGGCTTTGCAAACTAAAAATTTCATTTTCAATTCAGCCATAAAGTACGGCTAGCCTGACAGTCTAGCTGTACTTATCTTAGGCCCTATTGACATTAGAAAACAGGAGGTTTAAAATACATATGTAATGCACTGTCATTAAGGCACCTGGTTTCGTCTCAAATACACTTTAGGTACTGCAAACTAAAAATTCATTTACAATTCAGTAGGCTTTTGTTATGGTCAGTCCAGCCATCACATTAATTAATAAAAAAGAATATAAGTACGGCTAGCCCAGCTGTCTAGCTTCCTTTCCTGAACGAAGTGTCTACGTACACGGTAACCGGGCACCTAGCCTCAGTGTCTACGTACACGGTAACCGGCCACGTAGTCTCAGTGTCATGTACACGGTAACCGGGCACCCAGTCTCAATATCTACGTACACGGTAACCGGTAACCGGGCATGTAGTCTCAGTGTCACCAGAGACTATCATATATATTATAATTAAATACTCTCTGATGTCAAGTACACGGTAACCAGGCAGTTCAGAACTCCAAGTGCAGTTTTTGTCATCCGGTGTTGCCTTCATCCTCACCCCTCCCCCGACTCCATACCTTAAAAAAAAGTCAGTAATCCCCCCCCCCAATTCCGGAGCCCTATACACACCAAAGATCTTAGAATGAACTTTGGTGACCCCAACCGGTAGGCCTACTCACAATATGTGATGCACAGGTTCACTGACCTGTCACGATGGCGAGCCCGACAAGACGCTTTTGTATGACTTGTAAGACGCACAGGACAAATATTGATTTATTTTCATTCCGGTTACCGTGTACGTAGATCTAGATACTGAGACTAGGTGCCCGGTTACCGTGTACGTAGACACTCCGTTTCCTGAAAAAACAGAGCCTACTCTAAGCTCGAAAGTGAAAGTCCCACCATTATAGATCTAGATCTAGATTCTTCTAGATCTAGAACTAGATTATAGACTCTAGTTGTCAAAAATGTTCAACAGTGTTTGTAGGATGAAAGAATAAGAAAAGGAAAAGAATTTTAAAAACGGTTAAAACGAAGTCTAGCCTGAGAGTCTAGCCGTACTTAGATACTTAACTAGGTTTGGCCCTATCGGCCTATCGACTCAAACCTGTCACATGTACACAAGTCTCATTAGATCTAGATCTAGAATCTAGATTAAATCTAGTAATTATTCAGGTTCAAATACATGCAAGTCAGTAAGGCACCTTTTGGTTTTGTTCTGAAATACAAATACTTTAGTAAAGGCATTGCAAACTAAAAATTACAATTCAGCCATCAATATTAAGTACGGCTAGCTTGACAGTCTAAGGCTAGCCACTTAATGACGGCTAGACTGGTGGTCTAGCCGTACTTATAAAGTACGGCTAAACTGGTTGGCTAGCCGTACACGTATTCTTAATTATGTACAGGCCAGGCCTACCGGTTGAGGTCACCAGCCAAAGTTCATTCTAAGATCTAAAATCTAAAGAGACCTGGGTATTTAACAGTAGGTTTGAGTCGATAGGGTTAAAGTCAAACCTAGATTCTAGATCTAAGTTTAGTACGGCTAGACTGGCAGTACTTAAGTACGGCTTGCCACTTCGTAAATTAAGAAAAGTATGGCTAGCTCAGCTGTCTCTAGAGCCGTACTTTATGCCAGTCTAGCCGTCATTAAGTACGGCTAGCCTCTTCCTTTTAATAAAGGCACGTTAGAATCTACCTTGCTGTTGTTTCTAGGATCTAGGGTTGTTTCACACACCCTGTCCCCTGTGCGAATATAATTTCATAGTAGATCTACTGAACACTGACGATTCAAACAGCCAAAGCCAAAACCCAAGAAACAGATTCTAGAATCTAGATCTAGATTAGATCTAGCAACAACAACAAAATCAAGTCGCTCGAAGTCTTTTTTACCTTGTAAATAGTAGGCCTAAACACGTGCAAGCCTCTTTCTCTGCCTACCTTGCTTGCCTTAATCTGTCGACTTCAAAGTGGCAAGTGGGTAGCCTACTATTTGAAGTGTGCCCCCAGGCTAGGCCTAGATTTTGTTGACTTGAGTTGACTGACTGAGAACCGAGAAGGACTAGATCCAAACTTTTGACGAAGAAGATCGTGTGCTCTCAGAGATGTTGTGCATTCCATTTGAAACCCCAAAATAGCATCAACGGGAAATTGTCTGAGTCGTTGTGGTAGGCAAACGGAGGCGCAGACCTTGGAGTAACTATTAATATAGTTACTCCAAGACCAAGGTGCAGACGGTGAAAATTCAGTAAAGATTGTTTACATTGTTGTTGTCATCACCTTAAGTGACAGTTTTCAGGCTGATCGTAAAAGTGGCATTTACACTTGCTGCATAGATTCGATTAAAAGAATAATACTGCTTGCATCGAAAAAAATTATGAAAATTTATAATAAAGGTTGGGCATCTAAATCTATCTTCAGAAGTCCCAACACTACATGTATAATATACGAGGGGCAAACCAGTTTTTTACCTCACCATAAAAGAATAAAGGTAGACTAAAAAGCTGAAATTTGGTACTAACCTTAATCCTGCGTAGTCGCCCCTCACAGTTAAACATTAATTTTTGCCATCGGTGAATGACCTTGAAAACACCTTGAGAATAGTAAGCCTCTCTTTATCAGAAAACTGCCTCTTAGACCTCAACATCACTTTCAAAATGCCTTCCTTTTCCATCCTTTTCCAGTTTGGAGAATTAAAAAAGAGTCGGACGGGGCTAAATCTGGAGAACAGGGTGGATGTTGCAAAATTTCATAGGCTTGCCACTTTCTCGCTCAGTTTCTCAAGCTTTTTTTTTTTAAATTAAGTGTGCTGGCGCGTATAATTGTCGTGAAGCAGCAAAATGCCTTTTCGGATCTTTCCTCTGCGTTTTTCTTATAGCCTCTAGTAATTTTTTGCAGCTGGTTAGAATAATGGTCTCCGGTGATCGTGTGTCCATTTTCAAGATAGTCAGTCATAATCTCTCCTTCTTGGTCCCGAAAAAACTGATAGCATCCCCTTAAAATGTCCACTTGATGGCTGCACCTTTACCGTCTTTGATGTTGGAGACGAGGGTCATTGGTCATTCCCACTGCATTGATGCAGATTTTGACTCAGGATCGTAGTGGTGGACCTACGTCTCATCCATGGTTATATCTACAACTTTTTCCAAAAAATTAGTTTCATGCCTTTCATACAGGTCAAGCAATTCTTGACAACAGTCCACACATTGCACTTTTTGAGGAGGAGCCAACAAACAAGGGACCCATCTTGCAGAAACCTTGATTCAAATGCTAATTTAAGATTCGTTCAACTGATAAAAAAAAGCTAAGCCTATATAGTTTCTTGGCTCAAACGTTCGACTGTCATCTGCCTATCACAATCAGACAACACGAGTTTCTTGATCTTCAACACATTCCCTTCTGTTGTTGCTGTTTGACGACCATCACGATAGGGGTCATCTTCAAAGTCCATGAATCCGCATTTGAATTTTTTACATCAAAATTTTATCACAACATAGGATGGGCTGTCAGTTCCGCATAGGGCATGCGGATCCGTAAATTTTTATTTTTTTGAACTGACTGCATGTGCCGCAAGACTGAGTTGTTTTCAGTCCAGCGGTGTTGGTAACAGTGGGTTCATTTATATTGACTATTAAGTTTTAGTCATTGAGATGTATAAGGAGTAAAATCTCTTTCTTCACAGTCTTTGAAATCGCATGTGTTTCAATTTGCAGTAGCTTTTTTCATTTATTATCATAGTTAGATTACTTAATTTACAAACCAGAAAAAAAACTTTAAAAATACGTTACCTCAAAACTACTGAACTAACTACTGAGATAATGTTGATATGTCAGAAATGATAATAAAATAA